CATTAACCTGATCAGCCACATACCTTACAAAAATCCCACTTTGCTCTAGGCAGGTATTCTGAAGAAACTCTTGGACAAGCACATCAAGAAATTGTAGCAGTGTTTGTAAGGTGAAAGAACGGGGAAAATGAGCCAGTGACGAACTTGTTCAATGAAAAGATTAGACTCAGTAAGACTACATCACATCATGATACCATTCTTTATAAGGCTTACAAAGTAATGCCTCTGTCTGGACAGTTGACATGTTTTACTGGAAATTTGGTTTTTCTGTTTCTATGTTCTGCAGTAGTAGGTTGGTTCAGTAATATGTGAAACCTTAAAAAAGAAAAAAACAAAATTTTTGCATTATTCAAATAAGGTGGCTTCCCAAAGAGTATCTGTACATTCATTTACAGTAGTATGCTGAGGAAGACTGTTTAAATCTTTCATTCAAACTGTTTACTTTAGAAAATATGTTGCCAGTGGGAAAAAACCTTAATTCTCTGACAGATTTCACCCATAGAAATAGCTATAAATATGACTTTGACTCTCATCTGATGAAGGCCCATAATCAAGTAGAGATTTTAATCCTACAAGATCTTAACCAGTTCAAAGCCAGGCCAGCTAAGACTAAGATAGAGCCACTGGTACTCAGCTATAAATGGCTTTCAAAGATGAGTTTCAAGATGTTTTTAGCAAAAGGCAACATTGCTTAAAAAAAGCAGCTCAACTTTGCAAGGTTACTATTTGGAAGGACCATATTCACCCTAGTACAAATATATTATCATTTTCACATAGAACCAGTCAGAAATAACTGAGGAAACTTGCTTATGGTTATTGAAACAGCTGTCATCAGTTGTCTTTGCTGATTTTTATAGGTAATAAAAATTTATTTTCCATTAAATGGAAAGATCCTTTATATAAGGAGAAAAATATTACAATCTTAATGAGAGATAGAAAATAATTATGTAATATTTATAGAATTCTGTAACAACGATCAAATCATAAGCTAGAATTTCCTGCTAATAACAGATATACACATATTAATCAGAAATATCACTGATGTATCCTCAACTCTTCGAAATTAGTATGACTATGTTTTGGTGTGCTAGAGTATTATAACACTAATTTATTAATGGCCTTAAGAAAATATTAGAGAAGTTTTGTCACCATTTCTAATTTTACATGAAAAAGAGTCAGTTAATGATATCTCAATAAAGAATTAGTTTAAGTCAAAGGAAAAAAAATTGGCAGTACTGAGGTTTGAACTCAGGGCCTATGCATGCTTGCTAGGCAAGTACTCTACCATTAAAGCCATGTTTCCAGCCTCTTTTTTTTTTTTTTCCCGCTTTATGAGTAGGCTCTCCCACTTCTGCCCCAAATCAGCCTCTGACTATAGCATGTCTACTCCTGCCTGGCAGCTGGGATTACAGGCATACACCACCACACTCAGTTTGTTCTCTGAAAAAGGGTCTTGCTAACTTTCTGCTTGAGCTGCTCAAACCATGATCCTATTATTTCCATCTCCTAAGGAGCTGGGATTATAGGCATGAGCATAACTGGGCACCAGTGCCTCCTGCCTGTAATCCTAATTACTCAGGAGGGTAAGATTTGAGGATCTCAGTTCAAAGCCAGGCCAGATAGACAAATCTGAAGACTCTTACCTCCAATTAGCTAACAAAAAGCTAGAAGGGAAGGTGTGGCTCAAATGGTAAAATCCAATGGTAAAATCCAACATTTGACTGGAAAAAGCTAAGCAAGAAGAAAAGGTCCTGAGTTCAAGACTCAGTACAAGCACTAAAACATAAATAAAAAACAAACAACAACAATAAAAACCCCATGAGGAACCGTGTACAGCCTGGAAATACTCTTGAACTGATAAAATATAAAATTAGATTCTATATGCATTTTTACTTTATCATGCAAGTAAAAAAGAAAAAGCAAAGAAAATTCTTGATTTTATCATTTATAAAAAAGTTGTTCATGCTTTTGAATAATCTCTTATCTAGGTATTTAACAATATTAAAAATTCAAAATTCACTTGGAAATTAAGAGAATGAGTAAAACTCAGAGGGAATACAAAGTTTATTCAAATGTTAAGATTAGTTACATAATACAATAAAATTAGTAAAAAAAAATTCAATGTATTTAAAGTGACAGTGCAATACAGAAAAGCAGTGGTTTTAATAACTAAGTAGAGAATCACATACAAGAAGCTAGAAGGATTTCTGTTAAGAGTAATACAGAAGGCTAGGCACCCTGTTTCTTCCAGCTTCACATGATGCTGAGGCAGGAGCTTAGAAGCCCAGATGTATCAGGCTAGCCTGGACATCATAGTGAGACCCACCCATCTTAAGGGAAGAAAAAATAAGTAAATTTTTACTCTACCTCTTTTCCAGAGATAATTTCAGTATTTTAGCTCTATATTACACCACTTTTGGGTAGGAACTGTTACCACTTGAGGTTATACTGATTGGCATCACAAAAAGCAGTCACCCTTGACTATCTCATCTCCTCATCCTATGAACACAGGCAGCTACCCATTGAATCATCCTTTATTCTGATCCTCATTTCACATCTTAAAGAACATGTTTTAACCTCATAAAGAGACTGTATTTTATTCTATTTTTTTCCAGGCTGTCAGTTTCTTTGAGATTATGATCTGATATGTAACTTAGTAGACCACTGCATGTTTCCTCAATTCTACTTCTCTTCTGAGTACTTCATATTAGCAGGTAGCTAGGGTACCTACTAATTATGTGAGATGACCACTGTATAAGAAAAACCAGAAATTGAATACAACAAACTATACACTTAACAAAAGCAGAAATATTCTAAGAGGAAAAAAACACATCATAGTAAAAAACAAAATCCTTACCTCTGAAAATTAACATAACCTCTAAAATTAATATAACATGCACAACAGTATCAAGCATTATAATACAAGAGTTCCAACAGAGTTGAGAAATAGACAGCTGAAGCCAGGTTTTTATTTTATTTTTTGTGCCAGTCCTAGGACTTAAACTCAGGATCTGGGCACTGTCCCTGAACTTTTTTGCTCATGGTTAGTGCTCTACTACTTGAGTCACAGCTCCACTGCTAGTGTTTAACTGGAGGTAAGAGTCTCATGGGCTTTCCTGGCAGGACTGGCTTCAAACTGTGATCCTCAGATCTAAGCCTCCTGAATAGATAGGATTATATGCATGAGCCACCAGAACCTGGCCAAAGCCAGTTTTTTAAGACCTAATCTCCGTATCTAGTATAGTAAGTGCTGTAGAGTTCAGAAAAATATAGTTACTTGTACTACAGAACATTGGTTCAAAGCTAGCTATGGCTTATACACTGGCCCACTGGCTAACAGGAGAAACTTAAATTTGCTTTATGAAAGATTTATCTGCTAACACGAACCCTCTTATTTATTTATTTAAATTAATTAAATTTATTTTTAGATTTGATATGCCCAATAGGAATGATTTTTGGAACATGGCATTCTTCGATTCTTACAAGTCCAGGTTCTCATCTAATGAGTCAATGAACTTCAGGTCTAGATGGAGAGAGAAGTGTCTTTCACTGACTTATCTTCCCTATGAATGCAAAAACTTGACAGATGTGAACTACAATACATTCTAAGGCCTAACTAAAGGAAAATTTAGGAAGGCCTAAAGCTCTAAATATAAAATTGAATGTCTTAATATTCATAAAAATATACATATGAGTAGGCAATGTATAATGTTAGTTAAAACAATGAAGAGCTATTATGTCAGAAGGCTTACTGATATCCTAGCTTCAAACTAATTTACAGGAACAATTAAATTTCAATGAACATACTGGAGGGTATTAAACAATGAGAAAAAATGTTAATTGCATCCTTCTGTTTTTACCAGTCATGTTTTATTGCTTAATGACTGACTTGAATTAGAAGTAATCAATAAACTACAGCCTAAAAAGGGTTTTTGTAAAAATGCATTCATTTTCTGATTAAGTCCAGATCCATGCAGTTAGACACAACAGGATGAGATAAATTAATGAAAAAGGAAAACACAGATCCTAAATTCAAAATCTAATGATTAAATCAAAGAAGGAAGTTGAAGGCCTTTTCAGAACTCCTTATTTAAGAGACATATAATCTGAACTAGTCCTTTTCACACTATCTTGACTAGACGTTAAAATTACTAGAACTTGGGGAAGGGAAGGTGGCTCAGTGGTAGAGCACTTGCCTTGCATACCTGAGGCCCTGGGTTCGATTCCTCAGCATCACATAAGCAAAAAAAAAAAAAAAAGCCGGAAGTGGTAAAGTGCTAGCCTTGAGCTTAAGAGCTGAGGGACAGCACCCAGGCCCAGAGTTCAGGTCCCACGACTGGACCCGTCCCCCCCCCCCCAAAAAAATAAAATTACTAGAACTAAAGCCTTCACTCAGATTGTCTCTGCTTCACTTTTTGCATGAGATAGGAAAAAAACAAAACAAAATTGTAGACTTGTCAGGTAGATGGATAGCTAAGTCTTTTGGCATCCTAGCAATGCAAGTAGAAATTAAGGGCTTTTCATGACACTCTTCTAAGCACTCATGAAAGAGGACAAATAGCATTCAGAAAGACCAAGACATTTTACCTGTTTCTCCAAATATACAAGAAATTGAGAACTTACCATCTAGAATAAAAAGCAAGACCTAAACTTATAAGCACCAAGTAGAAACAGTCTTCAAAAGGAAGTTTCCTATGTTGAAAAAACAGATATAATCTCCCCACTCAAGAAAAAAGCTAATACTGTAGGCAAAAGAATATATAAAACTCCAAGCCCGGCACCAGTGGCTCATGTCTGTAATCCCACCTACTCAGGAGGCTGAGATCTGAGGATTGTGGTTCAAAGCCATCCCGGGGAAGAAAGTCTGTGAGACTCTTATCTCCAATTAACCACCAGAAAACCAGAAGTGGCACTGTGGCTCAGTGGTAGAGGGCTCACCTTGAGCTAAAGAGCTCAGGGACAGAGTTCAAACCCCACAACCGACCCCCCTTCCCAAAATATGTAAAACTCCACAAGTGATATTTTAATCACCCAAATAGACAAAGGTTTTTGGCACTACTTGAAGCATTTTTAAAAGTAGGCATGGTTTCAAGTTGGACTGTCATATTTCTCTACTCAATTATTTTTTAAAGCAGGAAGTACCATATTTAACTTTATGACTAAAATTCTTCAGCTATTATCCAAAGTTGTGTTTAGTCACATACAACAAAGGGATTCTAGTTGTAGTTGCAACCCACAAAGGTTCATAACACAATGTTGTCTCTCTTGGCTATCAGATATGACTGAATTGTTGGTGGCTGGAGTTGAAATCACATACAGTCAACTACATTATTGGATCCATGACCAACATCTCGAATTTGGTTAGTTAAACAGGCACACACAGCTACACCTGCTCCAGCTCTGCAGTGAGACACAGATCCAACAAGTTCCCATCTGAAAAATCAGAACAGAAAGAATGTTATCTTAAAACAAAGTATAATTTAGTCAAAATACCAGTCAATGACAAAAATTCCTCCTTATGAAACTGGTTTTAAAAGATAGAAAGCATCCAAAGGAAAGAAAAGTATTCCAGCTTTATATTAACAACTATGATGATCAGTATATGAGTCCCCCAGGTATCTAAGCTTTTACTTTCTATGGTTTCAATTTCCAGTAGTAAACTACAGTAATGAAAAATATTAAGTAGAAAATCACAGAAACAGACAACAAATAAGCTTCAAATTGCACATTGTTCTAAGCAGTGATGAAACCTCATATGGTCCCATTCTGTCTTGCCTGGACATCAATTTGTCCTCCATCCAGTGTATCTATTCTGTAGATGCTACCTACTTATGAGGCATTTGATATAACACCTATGAACTCTGGTGGTCTCACAGTGCTTTTGTTCATATCTTTATTTTACTTAATAATAATAATTCAAAGCAGAAGACTGACAATTTTATTACTGTATGCTGGTACTGTTGTTTTACTTTAGTTAGTTTCCATTGTTACTGTGGCTAATATACAAATCAAACTAAAGCACAGTATGGATGTATAGAAAAAACATAGCATATACAGTATACATAAAGTTTGATAATACTATCTGTGATTTAGGCATTACAGGGGACTGGTGTCTTTGAAGATATATCCACAGAGAGTAGAGGATTGCTCTATTTTTAATACTCTATTCTTGTAATCAACTATTCAAACAAGGAACATTACTTACTTATTCAGCACTGGGTCAAATGCTTCCACTGTATTTAAGTATGCATTACCATTATGGCCACCAACAGCAAAAATCTTGCCCATTACTGTTGCAATCCCTACTCCTCCCCTGGGAGTGGTAAGTGCTGCCACATAATCCCACTTGTTGCTTCGGGGGTCATACCGCTCAACTGAATTTAGAGGAGAATTATCATCAAAACCACCTATATAAAGAAATATTTTTAAAAAAGCATTATACTTTAGAGAAAGTGACCTCTACATCTCAATTCAATAGCTTCTAAAATCTATTTCAGAAAAGTTTAGAAAAAAAAATTAGAAAATAAAACCCAACACCTATCTAACTACTACCAAAAGTACTATTCAACTTTATTTATTTATTTATTTATTTATTTATTTATTTTTTGGGTCCGGTGGTGGGGTCTGAACTCTGGGCCTGAGCGCTGTCCCTCAGCTCTTCAGCTCAAGGCTAGTGCTCTACCACTTGAGCCACAGCACCACTTCCGGCTTTTTTTCTTTTTGCTTATGTGGTGCTGAGGAATCGAACCCAGGGCCTCATGCATGCAAGGCAAGCGCTCTACCACTGAGCCACCTTCCCAGCCCTATTCAACTTTATTGACTTAAAAAATTTAAAGTGAAAAACATTGCAGGGGCTATATCTGAGCAATTGTTCATATAATTTTCTCCTTGGTTGACTAGGAGCAAAGAAGGCTGAAATTCCTTCTCTGTACATTTTATTTTTTAATAGTAAAAAGGCTTAATAAGGAAAGTCTAGCTATCTTTATATAATGACTCATCCAGGTATTGAAAAAACTATCTATTTGCTTCTTTTAATACTTATTGATAGTATGACAGAGATGTTGGTCTAACAGTTTAATATAATCCTAAGGAATATATACAGATTATGACTTCAACAATGCTCTCTTTCACACACTGGTACTCTACCACTTGAGTCATGCCTCCAGTCCAGCTTTATGGCTGACAGAAATCACATGGACTTTTCTGCTCTGAATACCTTTGAACCATGGTCCCCCCCACTCTCAGCCTCCTGAGTGGCTAGGATTAGAGCCACTGACTCCTAGGTAACAATGTTCTCTTCTTAAGATTCCTTATAAGTCTAAATGAATAATAGCTCTCTTTGGTGTGATCCAGCTTATTTTCCTGAGATTGTCATATTATTTGTTTCTTTTTTTAAAAAGCAACAGATCATTTAGACGTAATCAAATGAAAGTTCTCTAGGATTCAATTTTACTAAATCCATTATGAACTAAACCTAATTTAATGTGAGTAATCTGATGAGTTGGTTGTTTTTTCTCTTTTTGTGCCAGTCCTGGGGCTTGAACTCAGGAACTGTCATTGAGCATTTTTGCCTAAGGTTAGTACTCTACCACTTGAGCCACAGATCCATTTATAGCTTTTTGCTGGTTAATTGCAAATAGTCTCATGGACTTTCTTGCCTGGGCTGGTTTCAAACCTCAGTCCTTACATATTAGCCTCCTGATTAGCTAAGATTATAGGTGTGAGTCACCAGTGCTTGGCGCCGATGAATTTCGACAAATGTTTATCACAGTATCACTACAACTATAATATTTTTCATCATAAAGAGTGATAACTACTGGGCACCACTGGCTCACACTTGTAATCCTAGCTACTCAAGAGACTGAGATCTGAGGATCTCAGTTTAGGCATGAAAAGTCTAAGCCAGTTTAGGCATGAAAAGTCTATGAGACTCTTATCTCCAATTAACCACCAAAAAGGCAGAAGTGCAGCTGTGGTGCAAGCGGTAGAGCACTAGCCTTGTGAGAAAAAAAAAGAAAGAAAGCTCAAGACCGCATCTAGTCCCTGAGTTCAAGTCCCAGGATCTATAAAAAAAAAGTTAAAACTAAATATAAAAAATAAAGTTAAAACAGGGATACAGGAGGACCCATTGCAACAATGAGATGTACAAGTCGTTATGTCGAAAAACGAACTTTACAACTTTGGTGGGGGGGACGGGGGGGGGGCGGGGGGGAGAGGATACAAAGGGATGGAAAAGGGAAACAAAGTAGAAGGCTACAATGCTTGATAAGAAATGTGCTCATTATCTTACCTGTAATTGTAATCCCTCTGTACAGTATTTTCACAATAAAAATATATATAAAAAAATAAAGTTTTAAATGAAAAAGCATTAACGCCATAAATGTTGACCTTAAGAATTCAAAACATCTCAGGACTAACTCTACTAAAGGGTAAATGCAGTAGAATCTTTGTTATTGAGTTGCATTATGACATTTTTCATCGCATATCCTGATATATTAAACCAGAGAAATATCATCCACTCACCAACAACATATAGACAGCCATGAAGTTCACTAACTCCATTGCCTGCTCTTCGTTGACCCATTTCTTTAACATCTATCCATTTATCCAGATGTGGATCATACCTCTCCACACTAGATAAGGAAGCCACTCCATCATTGCCACCCACTGCATAAACATGGTTCTAAATGGAGAAAAATGAGCAAAACATATCACATTAGATTTTGAATGGATTTATATAACAACAGAATATGTAAGAAAGTAGAATTTCATGAACTATATGGCAGAATCTGCAGGCTGGTGATGAGAATATGTATCAGACCATTCTTTAATTTATTATAGATGTGATGAAATGCAATTCAAGTGTTTTGTTGCTGTACAACTTACAACTAGAGCCACAGAGCCCACTCCTCCACGGGGAGTATTCATTGGTGCCACTGTACTCCACTGATCAGATTCTATGTCATATCTCTCCACATCACTGAAGCAGGTATTGTCATCTAACCCTCCAATTGCATAAATTGGGCCTCCTAAGGAGGCTAAGGCAATTCCTCGTCTGCAAAAACAATAAGATACCTTTCAGCATCCAAGTTTCTTTCCAGGAAAAAAGTAGCAAAGAAAAATATACTAATGTAAGTCATTTATCATAGTAACCGTCAAAGAGTACAGTTTATTTTCATTGCAGACTGATCAAAGCTTTTGAAGAGGTGGCACTATGGTTACCAAAATATCTTAACTGTGAGTGAATAGTTCGCTTAAAGTTGTACAGTATACAGCCTACACAAAGTATTGTGTTTAGATTTTCATCGTTATTATAAAGGTGATATACAGAGGGATTAGTTTTGTAAGCCAGGTTATGAGTATATTTGTTTTTGGAGTGTCACTCCTTCTCTCTTTTTCCTTCCCTACACAAGCTATTTTAAACTTGCCTTAAGCTTTCTTTGTTGTTGTTTGTTAGTTCCTTTGTTTTGGTGCTAGTAATTTAACCCAGGCCTTCTGCATGCTCAGCATACACTCTACCAGTGAGTTAAACCCCTTCTACACTCAGATCAAATAAAGTAAAATCCAATGAAATAGCACAAAGGAGTCCAGAATATTCCATTTGTAAATATACAGTTGCAACTGCTGTATAGGTCAAAAGCCAGCTTTCATTCTGAATTGAGGTAACTTCACAGCTCATTTTGTTGCAGGGTTTTACTATACTATCATGTAAGAGAATAGTCATTTTTTCTTTTACAACCTTTATAAGCACCAGCTGCTAACTAATCTTTTCTTTTGAGACATTATTTTGTTTGTGGAAATTTAGCCCATATAAAAAGCTAACTGATTACTACTGTGATCAGAAGAAAAGTCTGTTTCTTGAAGAATACATTGTAGCAATCAAATATTGAATTCTTTAAAAACTATTATCTGTCACTAATTTGGTTGCCAAATAATGCACCTTATAAATCTCAACTATTTCTTCTTCATTTGAGGCAAAGCCTCAACAATGCCTAGCTCATATCTAATGCTAAGTATTCTCACAGGTTGATTATCCATCATCTGAAATAATTTGAAACCAAATTCTAGAGTTTGGAATAACTACTTATCAGCTGAGTACCCCTAATCCAAAAAATTGAAACTAAAAAGTGTTTCAAAATATGAATCATTTTGAAAGCTAACAATAAAAAATTCCCATTATAAAGCAAACTCAATTTCAGACTTTCAGAACAGGAACACTCAAGTCTGTAGCAAAGAATGTGAGTATTCCAGACATCCTAACACTATGTATATCAGTGTCCTAGGACAGTCTCTTATCCTCTAGTTAGGAACTTCCAAGTCTGTGTAAACATGCGACACCATCTCTATGACATAATTGTGTTAGGTTAGGAAGAATGTTTAATAGTTCTCTCTCCCTCACAAACCACAGAAAAAGATGACATTATTAGCATTGTACGGCAAAAAAGATGTTCTAGCTTAATCTAATCAGAAGTGACTAGAGCAGAGGTTCTTACACATTGGAGTCAAAAACTTAAAAGAACTTGGGTTCAGCATGCTGAGTAAACATGAAAAAAATTATGTCAAAATACATACTAAGGAAGTGGCACTGTGGCTTTAAGTGGTAGAGCGCTCACCTTGAGCAGAAGAGATCAGGGACAGCACCCAGGCCCAGAGTTCAAATCCCATGACTGACAAAAACAAAACAAAAACAAAAAACAAAACAAAAAAACACATACCAAAAGATTGGATAGCTAATATAAACGCTCAAGATTTTAAAAGAATAACAAAATTCAACTGCTATTTTGGTAAGAAAAGTTTCATTCAATTCTTAACTAAAAATCAACTTAAAAGATTATGATAAAGAGACATGGTAATAAAAATGTTCTTTGGGCTGGGTGTTCCATGGCTCAGGACTATAAACCTATTCAGGAGGCTGAGAAGAGTGGAACTGAGTTAATCCAATCCAAGCAGAAGTATGTGAGATTCCATCACTATTAACCAGTAAAATGCTAGAAGCATGGCTCTGAGTTTAACCTCTGGTACACACACACACATACACATACACACACACACACACACACACACACACAAATTTGTAGTTACCAAGTAGTATAAAGCAAGCCTTATTGAAGTATTAAAATGTCATCTATAGGTAATAAGTGGTAATAGCATTTTTTAGTACTAATTTTCCCCCTAGTATTTTCTCATAAAAAAGTTCTCTGCTGCATAGCTCTCTTCTAATTCCTATTTTTCTGTTTTTCATATTTCAATACATGAAAAAAAACTCTTTGTAAAGTTAAGTAAGAATAGAAAAGTGCGCCAGGCACCGGTGGCTCACGCCTGTAAAATCCTACTCAGGAGGTTGAAATCTGGGGATAGTGGTTCAAAAGCAAGATGGGGCAGGAAAGGCCATGAGACTCTTATCTCCAATAAACTACTCAGAAAAACTGAAGTGGTGCAGTGGCTCAAGTGGTAGAGCACTCCCCTTAAGCTGAAGAGCTGAGGGATAGTGTTCAGGCCCAAAGTTCAAGCTCCATGACTGACAGAAAAAAAAAAAAGGAAAATTGCAATATACCCACGTGCCATTGTGACTGAGGGTTGAACCTAAAGCCTCACACATGATAGGCAAGCATTCTTCCACTAAGCTACAATGTGGTGAAGCGAACTTGTAATTCCCAGTTAGGAATATAAGGATCATGGTTCAAGACCAACAAAGAAAAACGGTAGAGACAGTATCTGAAAAACAAACTCAAAGCAAAAAGGGCTGCAGGCATGGCTCAAGTGGTAGAATGCTTGCAAGGCAAGGGTGAGGTAGAGTTCAATCTCAAGTACTACCAAGAAAAAAATTGTTAAACAGGATAGAAAATGAACTATACAACTTATGAATGGGGATGGGAGGGAAAAACTGGGAGAGCAAGGGAAGAGGTGACATTGTCCAAAAAGAAATGTACTTTTTACCAGATGTATGTAATTATAACCCCGCTGTACATCACCTTTATAATAATAAAAACTTAAAAAAAAAAAGCAGGTTCCAGGCACCGGTGGCTCACACCTGTAATCCTAGCTATTCAGGAGGCTGAAATCTGAGGATCACAGTTCAAAACCAGCCCAGGGAGGTAAGACTGTGAGACTCTTATCTCTAATAAACCACTAGAAAACCAGAAGTGGCACTGTAGCTCAAGCGGTAGAGTGCTAGCCTTAAGCGCAGGGACAGCGCCCAAGCCCAGGGTTCAAGCCCCACGATGGACAAAAAAAAAAAAAATGAGTGAAGAAGCTGGGTGTTGGAGGCTCATGCCTAGTCAAGATATGTAGGTGGCTGAGATCTGAGGACCACAGTTTGAAGTCAGCCTAGGTAAGTTTATTAAGACTCTTATCTACAATTAACCATCAAAAAGTCAAAAGTAAAGGTGTGGCTCAAGTGATAGAGTGCTAGCCTTGAGTGAAAAAGCTAAGACACAGTACCCAAGCCCCAGTACTGGCACCAAAAAGAAAAAAACTATATGAACAATATTTTAAACATGGTAAAATATATATATATATATATATATATATATATATATATATATATATATGTATATGTGTATATATATACTTCAGACCTAAATTCATTGTTGTATGTAAGAGAGGCATTTCCAGTAAAACCAGAGACAAAAACAAAGCAAAAGAAATCTGTTTCTGCTACTACTCATACTGTATTATATTACAAGCCAACAGAATCAGACAAGAAAAACAATTTGAAATATAAGAATACACGGGGAAATAGGCAAAAGTTGAATATGATCTACAGAATAATTAACAGTACTACATCAACTCTAATTTTAATCATTATGCTGGCTATGTAAGATGTTAGCATATAGGAAGCTGGGTGAAAGGTAGGTTCAAGGTATGTATTCTTTATCTTGACGCTACTGGCATTTGGGGTCGGATAGTTCGGGCTGTCCTGTATATCATAAGATCTTTTGCTTCTGGCAACATGCCCACCCTTAAACTGTGACAACAAAAAAATATCCTCAGTCACTGTAAAATGTCTCATAGAGGATAAAAATTATTTTTGCTAAGAACCACTAGTACATAGAAGCTTTACTATTTTTGCAACTTTTCTGAAAGCAATGCTTCAAACAAAAAGGGTTTTTAAATTATTTTTTTAAGCAATGCTAGTCCGGCACTATGGCTCATATCTATAATCCTAACTACTTGGGAAACAGCAGAAGGATCCATTTCTAGCCAGGTAGGACAAAAAAAGTTAGCCAGGGGTGATGGCATACAGGAAGCCTAGCTAAGAAGAGAAACCCTTCTAGAAAAACAACTAAAGAAGAAAAGGGTTGGGGTCAGAGCTCCTGGTAGAGTGTTTGCTTCAAGGCCCTGAGTTCAACTCCAGGACTGGCAAAAAAAAAAAAAAAGAAAAAAAAAAAAAAGAAAGAAGGAAAAAGCAATGCTTAAGTAAAAAATGTAACTAAGGGCTGGGAAGGTGGCTCAGTGGTAGAGCCCTTGCCTGGCATGCATGAGGCCCTGGGTTTGATTCCTCAGCACCACATAAGCAGAAAAAAAAAAAGCTGGAAGTGGCACTGTGGCTCAAGTGGTAGATTGCTAGCCTTAAGCTGAAGAGCTGAGGGACAGCACCCAGGCCCAGAGTTCAGGCCCCACGACCAGACCCCCCCCCCAAAAAAAATTTTTGTTTAACTAATTTTACTATATGCCAAAATACCATTCCATGCTTTAAAAATAAAACTTCTGTAAGAACGAAGTTTTAGAAGGTAAAGTTTCTAAAATTAAAAGAAAAATGGAAAAGTTAAGTCCTTTTAATATTAAGACAACCAATTTCCCACCTCAGACCCAAAAGGCACTTTCCATGCTTATCTACCTCTTAGTATTCATTGACGCCTTCATCATCCATTTATTAGTGAGAGGATCAAACATCTCCATACTACCTAAATGTTCATTTCCGTCATGTCCACCGACTGCATACACTTTACCTGTCAAATAAAAGTAGTCCCATGTGATTCCAAACAGAGAAATAGTACTGCTATTTGCATATAAATAATATACAACTAGAATGTCATGACAAATTGACTTAATAACTGCTATGTTGTTCAATATTATCAATGTCATTCAGTAGTTAAATGAAAACAAAAGTAAATTTTCACTAACATTCAATTCTATAGTTACTTAATTGCTTTCAAACACTAATTTCTTGAGCTTCTGAACTTTTTATTACATAGTAGATTAAATCATTATTCATGATTTCAAAAATGCTTACTAGAGTGGAAACATGCTTATAACATGTAAATATAAAACTTAACTATAATCAAGTTTCTTGTAAATGAAACAAAAATACTCAGAGAAAATATTAGGTGACTAAAGTGTTAATTACAACTACTTTTAGTACTTGTGTTACAGACGATTTTTAATTTTTTCTAAAAATTCTTCTATATTTCTCTCAATAAGCATTGTGTACTTACATAATCAGGAAAAATAATATTTAAATGTTTCTATTCATTTTTAGCTAAAATCTCATAGCAATAAAAAAGCTATATATACTTGTCATTTGAATTCAATAAAAATATTTCCTTACTTTGATTTATTTTATTTTTTTGTTGTTCATGGGGCCTGATTTCTGGGCCTGGGCACTGTCCCTGAGGTCTTCAGCTCAAGGCTAGCACTGTACCACTTGAGCCACAGTGCTACTTCCAGCTTTTTCTGCTTATGTGGTATTGAGGAATCAAACCTAGGGCCTCATGCATGCAAGGCAAGCACTCTACCACTGAACTACCTTCCCAGCCCTGACTGGTTTTTTTGAAAATATAATTCAGAATTTACATATTTATTTAGTACTGAGGATTGAACCCAGTGCCTTTGGGCATGCAAGGCAAGTGCTTTATTACTGAACTTCCTATCTAGCCCTTCTTTTTCTAGAGACAAGGGTATTCCTTTATAGTACAGGCTGGCTCAAATTTGCAACTCATTTGCCCCTGCCTTCTGGGTGCTGGGATTACAGATGTGAACCACCAGACCTTGTCAGAAGAGTTGAACTCATATCCCTTTTCTTGCTATACATCTCCATATTTATACACTTTTCAACAGGTTATACCATGAATATCTGTGGGAGCAAAGGAAGTAAATAACCAGTACCCAAATATTTTTATTGATATATTCTAACTTTTACAATTTAGCAACTTTCTTCTTTATAGGATAACAAGAACACTGCAATCATGTGATTTGCTTTTATGTAGTCATATACCCACCTTCAACAGAGATTACACCCACATGTCGCCTTCGGCTATTCATTTCTGGTCCAAAGAACCAACTGTTTTTGTTGATAGAATAGCATTCAATACTCCGAAAGGGGTCTCCAGATCCACCTCGACCACCAACACAAAACAGCACACCTAAAGTTAAAGGCACAAGATAGAGATAAAAACTTTTAGTGTGGAAAAAATAGCAGTCAAAATTTTGAGTAATTGGATAAGATGAATTGGATAACATTCTGTGTGAAATTACTAGAACTATTTTTCTTTCCTCCCCTTTAGTTGAACTTTTCAAATAATAAGATATATTGACTATCTCTTATAATAAGCTAACACCCCAACACAGTATGGTTTATATCTTCATTTACTCAGCAAAACTGATCTTGTAGTTTGTCCTAACAAACTCAATCCACTTATAAATCAATTCATTTCTTATTGAACACTAATGTAATATTTGGTATGTTGATAATGCTGGGTTTCTCTTTTTGGAAATTCCTTACTTTATTATTATCTATAATATCCAAGTCTCCTTTTGTTTCCTAACATAGTTCCTTCTTTTTTACTTTTCATGTTTTATTCTTTTTTTGTGTGTGTATGCTGGACCTGGGGCTTGAACTCAGGGCCTGTGTGCTGTCCTTGAGCTTTTATGCTAAAGGTTAGCTCTCTACCAGTTGAGTCATAGCTTTACTTCCAGCTTTGTTTTGTTGTTAGTTAACTGGAGGCAAAAATGTCATAGACTTTGCTGTCGGGGCTGGTTTTGAACCTCAATCCTCAGATCTCAAGCCTCCTGAGTACTAGGATTATAGGCATGAGCCACCAGCACCCTGACCTATGTTTCATTCTCAGTTCACGTATGTTTTCTGTGTATCTTCCAAGGCACATGTCCCAAAGGTGCCTCATATCTAGGACAGTCAAAACAAAGTCTCTTCTAACCTACCTAAATCTCTTCCTTTCCTGCAGTGTCACACCTCTGCCTTTCTATTACCACGGCTACTATCTTAGTTCAGGCCTTCAGCAGCTATTAGTCATAGCATTGCAAGATCTTGTCATCTGTTATCATTTTCAAGATATTTTGCTTTCAGATTATCAACAGCTTTCCACTTCTTCCATTAAAAAACAAGTGAATACCACTTAATCATATATTTAAAAATGATGAAAATGAGCTAGGTGCTGGTGGCTCACATCTGCAATCCTAGTTACTCAGGAGGCTGAGATCTGAGGATTGTGGTTCGAAGCCAGCCTAGGCAAAAAAGTCTGAGAGACTACTATCTCCAATAAACTACTGAAAAAAGCTGGAAGTGGCACTATGGCTCAAGTGGTAGAGTGCTCGCCTTGAGCAAAAAAGCAGCTCAGGGACAGCACCTACGCCCAGAGTTCAAACCCCAGAACTGGAAAAAAAAAAAGTGAAAATGATAAATTCCATGCTGTATATTATAACTAAAAAAAAAAAGGAAAAATCACTTAGCTTTAGTGTGATTCAGATTCATCTTAAGGGCACAAAACACAGACTGGCCACTTCTACCACTATGAAAAGCCTTACAAAATAAAACCTGAGGGCTGGGGATGTGGCTCAGTGGAAGAATGCCTACCTAACATTCATAAAGGCCCTGGGTTTGATCCCTAGCATCGAATATGCACAAAAGGTAAAGCCTTAGCACAGTAGTCCCTTCAGGATATATCTGGTCTAGTTCAGTATTCCAAGTCTCTTTCTTTGGTATTCCCATAGTACTTTTGGCAATAGTCATTCGCTTAGCACTCTATTCTATGACAACTATCTCCAGTCTTAACTAGGTAATGGATGTCTATTAGGCATATATATACTAACTGGGACTAGCATAATGACTGGTGTGTACTAGATGAGGCATTCAAGGGACAAAAAACAGACTTTTTCCCTGACCTTTAAATTGTTTATAAATAAACTGAAACCTTGAAAATGAAAAATATGTTTTAAATTACAGATACTTAATGATGCTACTGGTAGTGTGATCCCAGTCTTTATTTAAGTAAAACCAATATTTCAGCTATGGGTCATCTTGGAACACAACATGAAAGAAAAAATAAAATGGAAATAAAATATCAGGATTCAAAATCCTTTCTCTATTATTTTTCTGTATGGTCTTAGCATACTCTTAACCTAAGTCTTCTCATCTATAAGTGGAATAACACTATCTAGCTCCCAATGGTTGACTCCTTTGTCAAAATCAACTAATGTTTTTGCAATAATGTAATGCCACATATATAAGTGTCTCGGATACTATCATACAATCTATACCGTTGACATTTTAAATTCGAATCTGGATTTGAAAAGAGCTTGCCTATCATGTTCTCCCTGATATGTGAAAGTTAGATCTAAAATGTACTAGGTTATGACAAATTAGACAGCATTCTAGATACTCACATATAATGAGACCAAAAGATGATAGTTGTAGGAGAGAATCACAAAGGTGCATACCCAAGCACCTCTTCATATGTATATAAAATACATACTGAAACAAACTCCAAAGATATGGAAACAAAGAACTTTTTTTCTTAATTTGTTTTATCTTTTTCTGATGATTCTATATTCTTTACCTTATATACAGTGCATTCACATGCACATCTGTGGGAGGGTGAGGAAAGGGCACAGAATCCGAGGAAAAAGGGTGGAAAAGTACAGCAGTGGAATGCACTAATGAAAGTGAACTATGCAACTCGTGGGTGGAGATGGTGGGGGGCGGAGAGGAATTGTAGTGAATGAGGAAGCAGATAATATGATGCATGTAAATGTAACCCCACAGTATATCCCCTCTAAATAACAATAAAGTAAATTTAAAAAATAAGAAGAGCATGCCAAGCTTACATAGACCATGTGTTTGATCCTCAGCACCAAACAAAACAAACAAAAAACTACCATATTTATAAACAAGTATTTCCTTTTGTTGCTGAAGTCAGGTTATTTTATGGATCTCATTACTTACTAACTGTATTAGCAGCAAACATACTCAGAATTCCTCTTCTAAATTTTTTTTATTGTTATAAAGGTGACATACAGAGCATAGTTACCTGTTACTCATTACTTAAGTCAGGTAATAAGTACATTTTTTTTTTACAATGTCACTCCTTCCCTCACTCTCTTCCTGTTTTTCCCTCTCAGAATTTCTCTTGCTAAGTAACTCAGCCTTATTTATAGTCTCTCATTCCTTAAGTATGTTATTCTTTTTTTTTCTTAATTTTATTTATTTTTTATTATGAAAATACTGTACAGAAGGGTTACAATTACATGGGCAAGATACTGAGTACATTTCTTGTCAAGCATTGTAGCCTCCTCCTTTGTTTCCCCTTCCCATCCCTTCCCATCCTCCCCCTATCCTCCCACCCAATCCTCCCCACCCCCCCCCAAAGTTGTAAAGTTCGTTTTCGACATATTGACTTGTACTTCTCAAGTATGTTATTCTTTATAAATATAAAAAATATAACAACATCAATTATTTTCTTGGGGAAATACAAAGTCCTCAAGACTGGAAAATAAAGGCAAATGTACATTCTTCCTAAAATATAGCAGCTCTAGATTCTAAGTGTTTAATATGGTCCATTACACAAATGTTAGACTTGTTTCATATCTTTATTGGTAAACTGAAAAAAAAAATATTGCCAGGTGCCAGTGGCGCACACCTGTCATCCTAGATACTCAGGAGGCTGTGGTCTAAGGATCACAGTTCAAAGCTAGCCCAGGCAGAAAAGTCCACAAGACTTACCTCCAGTTAACTATCAGAAAATCGGAGGTAGCACTGTGGCTCAAAGTGGCAGAGCACTAGCCTTAAGCAAAAACGCTCAGGGACAGTATCCCAATCCTTGACTTCAAGCCCCATGACCAACAGGGGGAAAAATATATTTAAATATGTAATCTGTGTCAAGCACCATGCTTGTACTAGGATAAATATCAAAACAAAATAGTTATATACACCTTTGAAGAACTCAAGGCATGTCAAATAAATGGATTACAATGCAACATAGTAAAACAAATTCAAAGTGCTCTAAAGGTCTAACAGAAAAGCTAATTCTGCCTAGAAGAATCATGAAGACTCCAAAGGAAGAGAAATATAAGTAGTCTCTTAATATTGTATAGGATTAGTTTAGTTTAGTTTTGCCTTTTTTAAAGAGCTTACTGGCTGGGCACCTGTGGGGCCATGCCTATAATGCTAGTTAGTTAGGAGGCTGAGATCTGAGGATTACTGTTCAAAGCTAGCCCAGAAAGAAAATTATGAGACTCCTATCTCCAATTAACCACCCAAATGCCAGAAGTGGAACTGTGACTCAAGTGAGAGAGCACCAGCATTGTGCAAAAAGGGTCAGACAATGCCCAGGTCCTGAGTTCAAGCGCCAATACCAACACTTTTAAAAAAGAAGAGCTTACTGGAGCTAGGCATGTAGTACATTCCTGTAATCCCAGCACCTGGGTAGTTATGGCAGGTGAGCTTGAGACCAGTTTGAGCTACATAATGAGATCCTGTTTCAAAAGAGAGGGAGGGAGGAAAGGATACTGAAAAGAAAGGAGGGAGAGAAAGGGAAAGGGGGGGGGGAGAAAGGGAGGGATGAAAATACTACCTTAATTGGTACAATGACCTAAATTATATACACATATATAAAGACATATATACTTCCTTGCCAATTATTACTTTGAGGCAATTAGATGCTAATTATCTTACAGTTAAGTTTGGGCATACATAAATAACCTTTATAGTCCCAAAAGAAGTGAAAAATAAGGGTAGTTAATTACCAGCTGTATGCTTCCTTGGAGTGGTCCGAACAGAGTATTCAAAGTCAGGTATTGCTCTGCTACTCAGATGAAGGTGATAATTTCTTGCTTCGTCCAATAAATCTCTACATTTAAGATTCTGCTTGACAATCTGTTCTTTTGCTACAACACCCATAAGAAATTCAACTGGCAATAATGGCAGACGGACCTAAGAGCATGAATAACTGTTAATTTAAATAGCAATTGCTTATTCTCCATATTTACTATCTTTTCTTTTTGTTTTTGGTCAGACATGGGGCTTGAACTCAGGGCCTAGGTGCTGTCCCTGAACCTCTTTGTGCTCAAGGCTAGGGCTCTATCACTTGAGCCACAGCACCACTCCAGGTTTTGAGTGGTTAACTGGAATAAAAATCTTATGGGGTCTTTTCTGCCTGGGCTGGCTTCAAATCAAGATCCTCAGATCTCAGCCTCCTGAGTAGCTAGGATTATAGGCGTGACCCACCGGCACCCAGCTTTTTTTTTTTTTCCTTTAAGTTTCTGTGTGTGTGTATGTGCCCGCGTGCGCGCGCACACACACGTGTGCTGCTAGTAGGTCTTCAACTCAGGGCCTGACACTGGCTTAGCTTTTTCTCAAGGCTCTACCACTTGAGCCATACTTCTACTTCTGGCATTTTGGAGACTAATTGGAGATTAGTCTTTTTATCTGATTTGTCTGCCTAGGCTAACCTTGAACTTCCATCCTCAGATCTCAGCCTCCTAAATAACTATGATTATAAGCTTGAGCTACTAGGCCCTGGCCTGTTTTAAACTTCTCTAGGGCTAGGGGATATAGCTCAATGGAAGAGTATTTGTCCATCATGTGTAAGGCCCTGAATTTAATCCCCAATACTACAAAAATAAAAACAATCCCAGCATGATGGCAGACATAGGTAATCCCAGCTTCTTAGGAGGCAGGGACAGAAGGATTCTGAGTTCAAGACCAGCCAGCAATTCTAGCTACTCAGAAGTAAATCCAGCTCAGGCAGAAGAGTCTGTGGAACTCATCTCCAATTAACTACCAAAAAGCCAGAAGTGATAGTGTTAAGTCTTGAGCACAAAAAAAGCTCAGAGATGGTGCCCAGGCCCTGAGTTCAAGCCCCAGGGATGGCAAAAAAAAAAAAAAAAAAATTCTTTGAAACAGGGCTGGGAATGTGGCTTAGTGGCAGAGTATTTACCTAGCATATATGAGGCCCTGGGTATAATTCCTCAGTGCCAATAAACAAAAGAATAAAAAAATTTAAAAAAATAAAAAAAATCTATGAAACAAAACGGCAATGTGGCTCAGTGCTAATAAGCACTTGACAAGTATGTTTGAAGTCCTGGGTTCAATTTAGTACTAAAAAATTCATTGTAATTATAATCATACTTTGAATATATTTAAATTCTCTACCCATAAACATCTAAAATGGTAACAATGGTAACTATAAGCAATCTTGTACTTGCTATCTGTAAAAGTTGATAACACTATTAAGAAATTTTTTATTAAAATTGATATTATCAAGTACAAGGCTTTCACAAAGCATTTAACTTGTAAAAACTGAGTAATAACATTCCTCTTGTAGATACCACCATTGTACTTCTGAATAAATGAAAGGAGAAAACTTTCGAGGGAAAACAGAAGAAGCAGAGAATAGGAAGAGGGAAGGAAAAGGGAGGGAGAGAAAACAAAGAAAAAACAAGACAGACACTAAAAGAAATATTTATTACTTCCTCATCCAAGTCTCCCCCACTTGAAAATTTTGTAATAGTAATTAAAAAACACATTTTTGAGGTTGAAAAAGTCAAACGATGAGGGTAGAAAATGGAAAAGTGATGTTTAATGAGTCCAAAATAAATCTATATGCATTAGGAATAAGCACTCATATTACCAAATAATACATTAAAATATTAAAATATTACTGTGAAGCCAATTCCTTAGAACCATTTCTAGTAGTATATTCATTTAAATCATTCAGATGTAGCTGGGAGCCAGTGGCTCACTCCTGTACCTAGCTGCTCAGAAGGTTGAGTTCTAAGTAGTGTGGTTTGAAGCCAGCCCAGGCAGGAAAGCCCATGAAACCCTTATCTTCCATTAACCACCAAAGAATCTGGAAGTGGAACAGTGGCTCAAGAGGTAAAGCACCAGCTTTGAGCAAAAAAGCTCAGGGATAGCACCCAGGCCCAGTAAGTCCCCCAAACTGGCACACACAAGTTTAAAAAAAAAGTCAAACAGGGCTGGGAATGTGGCTTAGTGATAGAGTGCTTGCCTAGCATGCATGAAGCCCTGGGTTCAATTCCTCAGTACCACATAAACAAAATAGCCAGAAATGGTGCTATGGCTCAAGTGGTAGAGAAGCCTTAAGGAAAAAGAAGCTCAGAGACAGTGCCCAGGCCAAGCCCCAGGACTGGCAAAAAAAATCCAAAATCCAAAACAAACAACAACAACAACAAAAAGACATATCAAATTCAGATTTCTCTAAAACAGTATAGGAAGTGAACAGGAAAGGTATAAAGTTATTTTCATCATTATACCTATGTTAATGGCTTGTATACTCCCTCAAATGAACAACTTTATATAATCAGTAAAACATTTATCATCTTTCCTTTCCATATACAATCTTATTTCAGCCCTACCTGTGCAAGTGTTTCATCCAACCATTTAGAATGATGCTGGGGATTGGCAAGAAGCCACTTGATAGCAGCACTATAGACCTGCTTTTCATTCTCAATATTTAAATCACTCGAGGACAAAAGCTTATGGAGGTGTTGTGGTGACACACTTACAAAGTCTTCGCACTCCACTACTTCAGTGAAATGTTCACAGGCATACTGATCTGCCATGTCCATTAGGTCTATTCGATTGTGACTTTCTGCAAAGGCTCTTACTGCCAAGCAATTGGAGGGATGAAAATGTAACTTCATGTATTCACAACAGGCTTTAGCCACCAGTTCAACCTGCAGAATACATGCTGCATACAAAAGAGGCTGTACGTTGTCAACAGTCAAAGTAAGCCGTGAAGAATAGACAAACTTCACTAAGTCTTCTATTGCATCACCATCAAAATCTCTAATCTCAATCAGTGTTTGTTTGGCTTCAGCCATTTCAGAGAGAAACATGGCTCTGAAGTAGGGAACAACACAAGCCAATACCAGTTTGTGACAAGAGATTAGCTTTGAGCCAACCTGTTGAAAAGAAATCAAAACAGTTTAGTATCAAAACTAGTCTTGGATCAGCACAGAGCATGTTTTGCAGCAAGGACAAAAACTCCAGACAATTTATAGTATTGCTGTTAGTTTTCACATTATCTCCTCTAAGAAACATTTGTGAATTAATGTAAAACAAAAAAGAAAACAGCAAACATCATTTGGCACTGATCATATGCCAAGAACTATTTATGCTTTTTGTACAACTACTCAACAATTCACTTTTGTCTAAACACCCTATGAACAGGTACTTTTTTTTGGTGCTAATACTGGGGACTTAGAACTCAAGGCCTCATGCTCTGACTCAGCTCTTTCCCTCATAGCTGATTGTCTACCACTTGAACCCCACCTTCACCTCTAGGTTTTTGTGAATTTGTCTGTCGTGGCTGATTCTGAACCTTTATTCCTAAATCTCAACCTTGAGGTGAGATTATAGGCTTCAGCCACCAATTCCCAGCAACAAGTACTGTTATTATCTACCATTTATCAATCAGAAACTAAAGCAAAGAGCAAACATTTCAATATTTAATATTTATTATGAACGTGATAAAATTTTTTCATTTTGTTTACCTTGAGATAACATTTCATATAAAAGCATTAAAAATGAACACTGAATTCTTGTCAACTTGAAAAATTAAGACTGCTTCCAATAGTGTGCCATTATATATACTTCGTTATTACTGGATCTTTATTCCCATTATTTCCTACATAAACTATAAATAGAAACAATGCTATAAAGGATAGGTACAGCCAGGTGTATAGCAAATACCCATAATCCCAGAATCTGGGAAGCTGAGGCAGGAGGACTTCCGAGATTGAGAGCAGCCCGATCCAGAAACTCTAATTTAGGGAGGAAAAGAAAGGGAGAGGAAGGGGAGGGGAAAGGAGAGGTGCAGAGGGAGGGGAGAAAAGGAAGGGGAGGGATGGCAAAGAGGGGGAGAGTAGAAGAGAGAGGGAGGAGAGAAGAGAGAGGGAGGAGAGAGGGAGATGGAGGAAGACAGGGAGAGGGGGAGAAGAGGGGAGGGAGAAGAAGGGGATAAGAAACCATCTGAGATGTACTTACAGTATTCGTGTTAAAGTTTGGGTGTTTGCTTACTAAGACATGTTTTTTTTTTCTTTTATAAACATTAAATAATTAATTCCGTTCTTTTGTTTCTCCTAAAACTACAGAATTTTCTTTATTGTGACAACACATACATTTTGGTATTAGACAACTGTCATATATATTGCAAGTTGACTTTATTCATTTCTTTGTGCTTGTCCTTACAATTTATCAGTGACATATACACTAGAGATGCAACCTAGCACATACCCATAACCACTTAACAAAACGTTTTCTCTAACTTCTTTAGAAAACTAATTAACCCTAATCCATCTTAATCACTGGAAGAAAAAAAATGGCCAGAAATGACTGGTTCACACCTTATACTCCAATGTAAATATGTGTACTCATCAGTAATTCTTACCTAGAGAACTAAGAATATATCAATGTAAATTCTAGTATGCATATACAAAACTTAAATCCTTTATAGTTTGCTTTCTTTTCTTATAGTTCACTAGTTTTATTCCACCTATAGTTTTATACACACACACACACACACACACACACACAATCCAAAACAACCCTTTCCTTTCTGATCTCTTTCTAAGGTACATATTGGAATGGGGAATCATTCTACCTAAATATTTACCTCAAGTCTTTTTCTACTACCTTTATGGTTTAACATTTTACATTTAAAACTTTATATCTGAAAGTTGTTGGTAATGAGTGTAGGGTTTCTTCTCTTCCTACTTTTTTTTAATGTGCTAAGGATTAAACTCAGGGCTTCCAACATGCTAGAAAAATATTCTACCTTTGAGCTCCACAACCAGTTTCTTCTTCTTCTTCTTTTGTCAGGTGTGGGGCTTGAACTCAGGGCCTGGGCACTATCTTTTGCTCAAGGATAGTGCTCTACCATTTTGAGCCACAGCATCACTTCTAGTTTTCTGGTACTTAACTAGAGATAAGAGTCCCATGACCAGGCTCTAGTGGTTCAAGCCTGTAATCCCGCTACTTAGAAGGCTGAGATGTGAAGATCACAGTGCAAAGCCAGCCCAGCTCAAAGTGGTACAGCATTATCCTTGAGCAAAAATACGCAGGGACAGCTAGCACCTAGGATCCAAGTTGAAGCTCCATGCATGACCGGAAGAAAAAAAAAAGCATAGTTCTTGCTGGACACCAGTGGCTCACACCTGTAATACTAGCTATTCAGGAAGTTGAAATCTGAGACTCATAGTTCAAAGACAGCCTGAGCAGCAAAGTCTGTGAGATATTTATCTCCAATTTAAGTCACAGAAAAAGCCAGAAGTAGTGCTGTGGCTCAAGTGGTAGAGTACTAGCCTTGAGCAAAAGGAACTCAAGGATAGTACCTAGACCCAGATGTCAAGCCTCAAAACCAGCAAGAAAAAAAAAAGTCTCACAGACTTTTCCCCAGGCTGGCTTTGAACCATGGATCCTCAGATCTCAGCCTCCTGAGTAGCTAAGATTACATGAACTATTTGGCTCAGTTTCTTCTTAACATAATAGTAATCCAATTTTCCAGGCACAATATAATCAATAACGTATGAAAAATAATAATGATAGTAGTACTTTAAATTTTTTTCCTGTGAGTCTAGAGGAAGAGAATAGATGGAATGGGAAGGAATGACAGGATAGACTGAACAGGAAGCACTGAACACTGAGATGAACACACTAAATTCAACCCTCTGGTACAATGCTTTGAAATTCACAAAAAAAAAAAACAACCTTTTCCTGTTTTTGTATAATTTTAATTACAAAATAAATTTATAGTGTGTTCCATTATTTGACAAATGATGTTTAAAAGAGATCTCAGCAGTGGGGGATATCCAGCCCAGAGGTGATATAAGGCCTAAGAAATCATTTGGTATATGATGGGGAGACACATATGCTTCTCATCAGCTACTTGAGGCAATCTGCACTGATAATTCTGTATGGTGTTTGAGTGATACTATCAATAATAATCTCTACCATAATAAAAGGCTCCACACCTATAGAGGATCCTCAGATGTCAGCCTACTAAGTTAGGATTATAAGCATCAGCCACTGGCTCCTGGCTTGTTTAATTAGAAGTGATCAGGTAGGATTTAGATTCTATTAAGACTAAAGCTAAAACATATACACACATAAAACCTGGAATACTTTCTTTCTTTTTTTTTGGGGGGGGGGTCAGGTCGTGGGGCCTGAATCTGGGCCTGGGCACTGTCCCTCAGCTCTTCAGCTCAAGGCTAGCGCTCTACCACTTGAGCCACAGCACCACTTCCAGCTTTTTTCTTTTTGCTTATGTGGTGCTGAGGAATCGAACCCAGGGCCTCATGCATGCAAGGCAAGCGCTCTACCACTGAGCTACCTTCCCAGCCCCGCCTAGCATATTTTCAAATTTACTTCAGCCCTAAAATGGGATCTCAAATCTGAGATCAAACATTCGTTTTTGCTTTTTTGCCAGACCTGTGGCTTGAATTCAGGGCCTAGGCACTGTCCCTAAGCTTCTTTTGCTCAAGGCTAGTACTCTACTTGAGCCACAGTGCTACTTTCAGCTTCTTCTGTTTATAGAGTACTGAGGAATCAAACCCAGGGCTTCCCTGCTTGCTAGACAAGCATTCTATCACTAAGCCACAATCCCAGCCTCTAAAATTAAACTTTTCTTTCTCTTGTCTCTCTTTTTGTCAGTTGTGGGACTTTAACTCTGAGCCTGAGTGCTGTCCCTGAGCTCAAGGTGAGTGCTCTATCACTTGAGCACCACCCCCAGTTTTCTGGTGGTTAACTGGAGATAAGAGTCTCACAGATGGTCCTGCCCAGGTTGGCTTTGAACTGCAATCCTCAGATCTAAGCCTCCTGAGTAACTAGGATTACAGGCATGAGCCATCAGTGTCAGCTATGATTAAACATTTTTTCATGTTTAAAGATCCTGAAAATATCCTTGTGTTTGCGTGTGTGTCTGTGTGTGTGTGTGTGTGCACACATGCATATTCACACACATACATGCCAGGCCTAGGGCTTGAACTCAGGTCCTGGGTGCTGTTCTTGAGCTTTTTTACTCAAAGCTAGCATTCTGCCACTTGAGCTACAGCTCCATTTCTGGCTTTTGTTTTCTTTTTCCTTTTTTTTGCTAGTTAGTTAGAAATAAGGGTTTCATAAACTTTCCTATTTGGGCTGGCTTCTAACTGCAACCCTCAGATCTCAGCTTCCTGAGTAGTTAAGATTATAGACATAAGCCACCAATGCCTGACTCTGAAAATACTTTAAAAAAAAATATCTGAAAATGTTATTGGGATTGTTTCTAGGCAAATTCTTTGTAAATCTAAGACATAAAGGTACTCTATTAAATATATTTCCAACTGTCTATGACATAATAACACCATATAATTCAATTTCCAGTAAACCATTATTTACTCATTTCCCCACTGTAACTGTATACATTAATGGCCAGAACGTTATTTGCATATTGATTTTAAAAAGATATTGCCCCTAGCTGGGTGCTGGTGGCTCACACCTGTAATCCTAGCTACCAGGAGGCTGAGATCCAAAGATCGCAGTTCAAAGCCAGCCTGGCAGGAAAGTCCATGCATGAGACTCTTATCCCCAATAAATAACCAGAAAATGAGTAGTAGTGCTTTGGCTCAAGTAGCCTTGAACTAAAGAGATGAGGGACAGCACCCAGCCCAGAGTCCAAGCCCCATGACCTACCAAAAAAAAAAAAAAAGACATTGCCCCTCTAAAACTCTAATCTCTTGATTCAAGTAAACTAAAATGTGGGGTTTTTTTTTGGTACTGGTGCTGGGCTTGAACTCAGGGCCTGAGCTCTTTTGTTCAAGACTAGCCTTCTACCACTTGAGCCATAGCCCCACTTCTGGCTTTTTGGGGGTAGTTAATGGGAGTGAAGACTCTCCCAGGATGTCTTTGAACAACGAACCTTAGATCT